TAATGCAATTAAATAATATTGCCTTTTTTACATTAATCTAATTAAGAATTAATTAATTGAGCATCCATTCGTTCGACTCGTTTACATATTTATTATTCGTGACGTGTGGTGTTTACATTAATGTTGTTACACATTAACTCGCCCATATAAAATTGTTAAACTAAACAAAATATGTACTTAATTCCTCAGACTGTGAATTACGCACGGGTGTAGGCGGCACACTTAAAAACTTCAGTTTGACATTATAAGACACTAAAGACAAAGACAGTGGCGACAATAAACCTTACGGGTATGACTAAAAAGAGCATAATGCACGGCACGATATAGCGTGGGGTATCGCAGCTTTTATGACTAATGCGGTAACGATGACAAAAAAGTTACGATCTAACAAAAGTGTTGTAATTCCACACCGTTAGTTGTTCGTTGGCGTCCGTTTCGCGCCCAGCGTAATGAGCTGTATCGTAAGGGGTTAGGGTCCGGATTCGCGGAGCACGCGCCGACGGCCGGCGCCTTTGACCGGGCGAGATAACATCCACCAAGCAGGTAAGTTTTTATGGACGACCCCGGACCGAAACCGAGGATTGAGCCACCGTGTTGTTTCTCACACGGACAAACTGACAATATGTCCGAGGCTTGTCAGCATTGATGAAGTTGGCGAAACGAAACGACACTATTGATGTAGAAAATGTGAATTTTTATTTGTGGTTTTTGACGGAGCAACGCCCAAACGGTTGTTGAATATAGAACGGATATTTTTTCCTTTAAAAAAAAAAAAAAGATATTGTCCTAAACTATCCTAGTTTTACATAATAAAAATTTCACATGAACACCCTCATCCGAAAAATTATCGTGGGTCACACAAAAAGTTGTCCCGTGTGGGAATCGAAACCATGACCGCCGGCGTCGAAGCCAATACCATACCAACTGCGCCACGGAGTCATAATTGCGCTTGCTCAACATAATATGTAATACTCTTTATCCTGTAAACGACAGTTACTCCTCAAGAAAGAAAGATGAAGCGTGTAGAAGATATTAAATCATAGACAGCAATACGTGATTGCAATATTTTAAAACTGTATAAATGTGTGCCAAAATTTTCGCGAATACACGAACTTTTGGCATGTCTATCTTTTCGTTTTATCGAAATCTTAAGGTATTTAAGTTCAGTTAACTGTTTCCCTTCCCAATTTGCCCCGTTTTACTTTGATGCTATCGCCTGAGTTGACGGGCCTAATGTAAATAGTTTAAAAAAAAGATAACAAGACTGCAGAGTTTCTTGCCGGTTCTCCTCTGGACAGGTCCAGTTTAGTGAGCCGGTGCTAGTTTCTACAACGTTCAATGAGAGCTTTAAATGAGCCTTTTATTGAATGGAGAAATTTTGACTTTGACTTAAGCATAAAGCTTAAGCGTTTGCCCCGCAAGTGAGGTGACCGGGGCCTGGTTGATAACCATTACTCCCAAAGTCCCACGGGCGGCGGAGCACCCTGAACGTCACGTGCTCATTCACCATCAGACGTAGAAAGACGCTGTCAGTAGCTTCAGCTGTGGATTCGAATTCACGTTCGGGGAAAAGTACGACGCGGTTGACCGACTGGTTTTTTGTAGTCGCCCACGTCGGCGGGTGTTTGGAATTCCGACGCCCCCCCCCCCCCCCTCCCCCACCCTAAACTCGCGGGTCCCGCTGACAGTCCCTTTCCGTCTCATTCATAACTCGAGAAGATTCAACCCCCGCGCTCTAAAATTAGTATCGGTGGCAAAGATAGGATCTTTTATTTTAAGAAAATAAAAAAAGGACAATACAATTACAATTAATCGCGTCTTCGTTCTCGCCTTTACTTTAGGATAATATAATCCTGTGTTGTAAGGACGTTTTACAAAACATAAATTTCACGCGGACAAACGACCAGATGCGAAACAACCGTCTGTGGGTCACACTTATAGTTGTCCCGTGTGGGAGTCGAGCCCACGAACCCACGAACCCACCAAGTAATTTTAATCATTTTACATTAATTACACAATTTAAAACCGTTGATTTGTTGAGTCTTATGAAGCTTCAAATCTGAACTACGCAAGTCTAGATTCGAACGAATTTGTTACCCTTTAAGACATTGTTCGAAGCTTCCACTTCAAGCAATGCAGTCGTAGATGGGACACGGACTAGCTCGGTAGAAGCCTATTCAATCTTGGCTAGAAGACGCCGGACGGGAAGAAAGAGGCCAGAGCAAATTGTTTACCACGTCGAGAGCGGTTACTGTCACTTCAAACAAAGACGTCCGTGTTTGCTTTTCAGTCTTTTTTTCCTGCTTGCTTTTGTCTGTGTGTTATAATTGATTGGATATTGGCGCTTTTCTTTTTTTATTTGTACAAGTAGTCAAACCAGTTGGCGGTTCACCCGATGATAAGTGATAACCGCCGCCCGTGGACATTTGAAACACCTTCAGTGTTACTAATGTTTTATCACCTTTCCATAAAGTGGGCGCCGGTTAACTCGCTCACCAGACGAAACGCAGAAGAGTAATATTTTAACTTCACACCCGCCTTCTATTAGGTCGTGGTACTTCCCCAGAAGGCCCTGCCCATTCGTGCAACAGCGAAGGCCCTGCCACACGCTTCTCTAAAATTATGTACAAATAAACCTATTACAGCAGCAGTTTATAGCCGTGATAGCTCAGAGTCCCTCAGCTCGCTTCTAATTCAATATTCTCGGGCAACTTGAGTTGAAACCGCGGTACCGGCACCAATGAAATTGTTCATTGCAATTTTATGTGGCGACTCATCACGCGCTAAGTGACATCGTGAGGAAACCCATTACATAAGAAACAAAAAAAATATTTCAAATATTAAGCCTGCCTATCCGCGGTGGGGTCGCGTGGTGGACTGTACCTAAAACCCTCTGTACAGAAGAGGCCTTTGACTATTATGGGACGTGTAAGTACGTTACTATGCAACACAGTAGTGTCATCTAATCACTTAACGTCAATTCACACAAAAAAATTATTAGCGTGCACTCGTTTACGTAGGTTGAAAACAAATTGGGATCTCTTTAAGCTGTGATGTAATAAATGTAATCATCCTCCTGCCCTCATCCCGCCTAGATGGGGTCGGTACAAGATATGAATCATGTTGTAAGTGGTTTTGGCTACGTTTTTAACGGCCGGCCGCCTGCCTGATGTCATCCGCGCCACCGAATCATTAAGCCGTAATGTATAAGCCAAAAATGGTTAAAGAGCACTGCGTCCAAGTCGCCCTACGGGACGGCACGCAAAGCAGTTGGTTTGGTGACCATCGAAGTAATCAGCGACAGCTTTGAGTCAATTAATCCACTCGACCATAAAACACTCCTGGGCCGTAAAGTTAACGGGAGACGCCGCATGAAGAAGTTGTTCCATAGAACGCTCCCGTGTTCCACTAAACAGGCTGACTTCAAACCACTTCTAGAAACTATAGGATAACACGCAAGTGCAGATGAACGGTAGAAATTATCTAATATAACAAATGATAATTAACGAGTTCATTCATTATGTAATTCCTTCTATCTTCATTTTTTTTTCGTATTTTAAGCAATCCTAGCGCATCTATTGCCATGTCCGTAACAGCACACAAACAATTTCAAACAACATTTTATAACCATAATTACGAACGAAAGATATCGCCTTTGCTGTTAAAATTTAATTTTATATACAGCGTGTCGTTACCATCGCGACAATAAATGAACACACGTCTAACGCTACTTGCCAATAATCATAAAAAAATATTAACGTTAAACAAATCCATAATAAAAAAAAATATTTTTCAAACAAACTAATTAAGTAAAAAAGAAACAAAATTTGTAACATCCTATACAACTCGCGCCACAGGGTCGCATTACGCCTTCTGTATGTTTGTTGTTTGTTTTGTCTATTAAACAGTATGTTTTGTCTCTTTAAAAATTCTTTCAACCCATTCATATGCTATGTGACCTTTACAAATGAACTTTATGTTACAGTTTTATACGTTAGGGTGTTCTAAAATTCTTTGTTTTAGAAAATTCTGTAAATATTGATGTTTAAAGAATGTAAATGTTTAATACAAATTTAAAAAGTTATCCCCTATATGTGTTCATTTATTGTCGCGATTGTAAAGACACGCTGTATATTATTATAGTGAACTATATAGTTTTTACACTCATCTCTGCACTTAAGATGAAACTTTTAAAATTTGTACAAAAAAAGGCGAAAGATTTTCGCCACAGCCGGAATCGAACCTACGTCTTCTGGATGCGACCTTTTATTCACTAAGCTAAGCGGCTGATTGCCACGCAGCCGAAAATCTAACCGTAATATATCTATATTGTTTTTTTCGCATTTTAAGTAGGGCGTCCAGGCGCGTTTCATGAAGATGTGGGTTCGAAACCCACGTCATTCTCTTCGTCCATTTCTCCGAAGTACATTCTTTTTACAAATTTTTAAAACATAGCTCGTTTACACTGTGGATATATGAATATAGCAATAGTAAAATTAGGTCAATAACAGGCTCGTGACGGCGCTCGTTGAGTTTGTCACAATAACCAATTAGCATTCTCGATCGTGGCACGTGATCTTGTTGAGGGTGACAAATCATGATCATCAAATTGTTCATCAGTAGTTTACATGCGAAAATTTTCAAATCTCACACGTCTCGATGTAGTTGGAAATTTAAAAAAACCCAAATACTTACAGGTAAATCGAAATCCATTGCACGAGTACTTACTGGTAAAACTTAAAAGTTTTATCTCTAGTTTTCAAATATTCCATGTAAAAATGTCATTTGAGTAAGTGTGTTTGCTGTGAAGGAAGCATACTAGATGGTGCTAAAAGTACAATAAGAACAAAGTAGGTAAGACGTCAAGGTTTTCGCCCGCTTAGATTAGTGGATAGAACGTCTGGCATAATTCAGAGGGTTCTAATCCTGCTAAGCGGAAAAAGAGATAGTAACTTATCGACACATTTCAAAGCTATAAGTGCTAATAATGAACTGATGAAATGCGTCCTAAATGCCACGCGTGTCGAAATTCCATAGAAGTAGCACGGTGGAAGCCACCAGGATTTTGTCCGCGCCAGGTTCAAGGTCAGCAGCAAAAGGTCATTGCACCCCGCTGCAGGTGCGAAAACGCAAATCGATCGTTGATAAGCGAATTGGCTATATAACCGGTCACACACGGATCAGCTAGACGATAGAAATATCACTACTACATAGTATAAAACAAAGTCGTCCCGCTGTCTGTCTGTGTTTATGAAAACTTACTTCTTTAAAATAGCGCAACGGATCTCAATGCGGTTTTTTTTACCAGATAGAGTGAATCAGGAGGAAAGTTTATATGTATAATACATGCGATATAGTAGAGTATATTTAGTATCAACATTGCACTCGTGCGAAGCCGGGGCGGGTCGCTAGTATTTACTGTATCAAGAGATATACAAAGATATGCTTTTAATTCGCGATTCCGCTGTCCCAAGACGAGAGAAATTAGAAAAAAAATTGTCTATTCCAATACGAAATTTACTCATGACGATTTTTCTTTTATAACATGATTTATGACAAGTTAGGTTAGATAAGAAGAGAAGATCCGACAATTACACCGGAGTTAATATAGACCTTTTAAACGTAGGAAAGTCGTAACTGAAATACAAAGTGGTCTACGCCATAAGTTGCGATCTGGTGTCCAAACGTCGTCACATCTGGTCTAAGCAACATTAGATTATCTGGTATCGAATTATATAATTATTTCTCCATCAAAAATATAGCCATTAAATAGAATGTTAATAGACAATAAAAATCGCAGAGATCTTGAATACTTAATATATGCGGATCAGCTATCGGCACGGGATCAAGAAACCGCACAAACTCCTCTTAAAGTCGACGGAATATTGCCAATTGAGAGAAAAGCTCCAAAAGCCTGGCTGGAAATCAAATATCTCACTTACAATAAAATTTCTATTTGATTCTGAAGAGTTGTCTCCGGAATCTCAAGTCCATCAAAGAAATATATATGGGACTATATATAGAGATATGACGGAGTTCAAATAAAAATTACCCGAACCAGTAAAATAGAATTGGCAACTCAATCACAATCTGGACCTTAACGCTAACATACGTACTGGACATCCGCTTATCCGGCCAGTATATAAAACCGCATTGACACCTGACGGTATTATAACACTTGCGGATAATCAGTTGCAATATTCGCAACTAATTAGGAGCGCCGGCGGCGGGCGGGGTGATTGTCCGCTCTCCCGGGGCATAATTACGCGCCGCGTCCGCAGTTTATGGCCCTCCTACCCTGCCCCCCCCCCCCCCCCCCCCCCCCTCACCCTGCGACAGGCTGGACCGCATTCCGCTCCCATGCGGCCGCCCCCGCGCCCACCGAGGGTCCTTTCCAAAATATCTGTATTCCGAACTCTCCGCGACAGATGCCGCGTAGCTTCGCACCCGACACCAGTTCCCAAGACTCACGCCCGGTTTCCAAAATACTGATCATCATAGAAATCATCTAATCAGCTGTCAAATGTCATTTGAGTAGCCAAAAGGATGGTTAAAGTCTCTGAATTGACCAGAATGATCTTCTTAACGATCAGAATGATCAAGTCAAAGAGTTTAAGCATCCTTTTGGCAACGCAACTGGCATTTGACAGCTGATTAGTTGATTTCTACGATGATTAGTGTTTCAGAAACCGGGCGTTTATCGGTCAACGGGACAAATGAAACGTTGATGTTGACGAAAGTTTTATCACCACAAACGAGTTATTAAGTTATTAATAACTATTAGTTGACCGTTAGTCTTGTGCAAACGAATGTTAGAGAATTAGGTACGGTTTCGCGTACTACAACGACAACAGTTTTCGGGCAACCTTTTGTTTTTATCTAAATTGCCCTCTTCTAATTGACACTAACGCAGGTTACTTCATTTTTGAGCCCACATATTAAAGTGTGGATAAGATACCGTCGGCTATTTCTCAGTTTTAGGCGTTTTGAACCGTGACGCTATAGACATAGAACGCCTTACTGCTCTTTATATCCCGATAGACGACTCAGACGAGACGAGAAGGAAAGTTATAAAAAAAATTCTATCATCGCCGCTGCAATTTAAAGTAAAATCGCTTCTGACAATTAAATCGAAACACACAAGAAAGTCTCTTACTTTGTAGAAGAATAAGTTTTTAGGAAGATGACGATATTTCTTATTTTATCGGGTAGGATTTGTTATCAAGCGTTGCCATGTGTCCCCTTGAACTCTACTAAACCAGATACCGTAAGGAAATTCTACGTAGACTGTGCTGTAGAGTTCAAAAGGCAACACACGCAAATGAGCTTCGTATAATATTAAACTGCACACTTGTGAAATAAAACCGATCATATTGCTCCTAGACCAGAGGCTTCCAGTGGCAATCATTCCGCTCCTTTCCTTGATAGAGCGTGGGAGTGCGTCCAAATATCTATTACCGGCCAGTCTATCGTGTAAATAACGATCCCGGAGCGGGATTCACACGATTTCCCATTATCCGGGTCCAACGATGACGAATCGTCCACTAAGACGTGATTATAATCATTATGGGCGCATTCCCGGCCCGCGGCGGCGGTATGCGGGAATCGAACCCCCGACTAGTTTTGTTTTCGCCACGTCATAACTCGTTCCCGCGCGCCGATCGCAGGGCTGCCAGCTCCGTTGTGATCGGGTGTTTTGGTTGTCAGCCCTGGCATAACCAACCTTCGCAGGCCACAAAACCTTTTATGGGATTTTTTAAACAGCCAGGATCTAACCACCAGATCGGATATTATGTTTTACAATTTTCTTTCTAATACGATGTTAACATTTTAAGTACAGTCCGCTTTTAATATAACAATAATTATACTGGATTATTCTTAAGTGTTTAAAAGGTTTATTATTAATTTAATTTAAAACTTAATTATTATATAAAAAACTACAAATTTTCTATCAACTGCAAACCCTGACAGTCTGTGCCTGCCAAGTCCAATCGCTTTACGCGTTCCAAATATGAAATAATAAAAAAAAACAACATTCCTCTTCGCTATTCACTTGGCAAACCTGAGAGCGCATGCTCGCCAATTCAAATTTCTTTACGCGTTCGAAATATAAAATAATTAAAAAACATATGTAACGGCATTCCGGATCACTCCACAGCTTGGCAGCCCTGATAGTCTACGCTCCGTTGGTCGTTTTCCTCTGTAGAAATCGAGTCGGCAACGACGCCGCATATTTTATGCTGTAACCCGATGTAAGACACGCGGCTGCATCTTAAAATGCACGCAGACGACTAAAACGACTAATTAAGACGCCACCTTTCAATGACTAACCACGATTCGCGAGATTGCGTTTCTATCTATATTATCCACAATTTAAGAGACATTGTGTTTCATATATTGTATTCGATATTGCGTGCGAAATGAAATACCATTGCAGTTTGGAATTGGATGGATTTGAATTGTACATCGTGCCATAATAAAAAATTAAACAAAGGAACAACAAACACAAAGATTAAATAAATGTTCCTGTAAATACGTATCACCGCGTCTAGACTCTGTGATACACTAATAGATCAGATCTACATAATATCCCAAGCAACATTGTTTTTAGGAATCCGAAATCGAGCTACGGTGCCGCGTCTCTTCTTTTTCAAGACATACCGAGACGACAACAGAAAATGTATATGGTAAGAGGCATTTCGCATAGTGCAAAAACGGCGGTGCATTAATTTGAATTGTTCGCCAACATAATGAGAGAGCACTATCTAAATGGCACAATAAAAGTCGACGGTAAATTTAAGAAAAAAAAGAAAAAAAATATATAGAATCGCGAAGTTTCGGTTCGAAATTCGAAATGGGACGGATCTTCGACGTAAGAGCGCGGCGGAACCGGTACTAACTTGACGTTCGCCAATCTGGACGGGTTTAATTGGTTCTTACTTGAATGTTAACTCCTTTTAAGCGCGTTGAACGTTAATCACATAAGGAGACATATGCATATTTCGACTTCAGACATGAGGAGCCCCGTCAAGTTGGTTCTTGGGGTTAATTCACATGCTTTAGTTGCTATAAAACTTGCTAGTTTCGGACAGACTGCATAGTTGTATGTTGCTGTTATTGAAAACCGTTTCCCATTTGCATCTTTTTAGGGTTCCATACCCAAGTGTAAAACGGGACCATATTACTAAGACTCCGCTATCTGTCAGTTCGTCTGTCACCAGGCTGTATCTCATGAGCCGTTGTAGTTAGACAGTTGAAATTTTCACAGATGATGTATTTCTGTTGCTGCTATAACAACAAATACTAAAAAACAGATGAAAATATTTAAGTGGGGCTCCCATACAGCAGACATGATTTTTTTGCCGTTGTTTATGGTATGGTACCCTTTGTGCGCGAATCCGACTCAAGCTTGGCTAGTTTAAATTTTTTGTGATAAGGTGGCAAGCGACCAGGCCATTAATTTGTTGCTAAGTGATTATTTGCACATATGAATAATACTTATTAGAATAATTTCTCTATATGTCTGTCTTCTGTACGGCCGTGGCCTTTTGACAAGCCCGTACAACACCATCAACTGCAAGTCTGAACATGTTCGAACATGCTACTTTGAGATTTGTTTAGAACCCACTTTAATCGCGCTTGAGTAGAGTATGCTATTAAAAGCAAGCGTACACACTCGGGCAGTATGCTATCTAGTAATGAGCAAGTAAGCTTTTAACAGCGTCTGCAGCCAGCCTATCGCAAATGCTCACATACCGTTACTGAATAAATTGATTCGCAATCGAACTGGACATAAATAAAGCAATGAAAATCGCGAACCGCGTATTAAAATAGCGAGCGATCCAGCAATTATGGACATGATCGGATAATGGTGTAACTTTTTTCGACCGACTTAAAAAGGGGCGTGTACTCGTTTCGCCCGTGCATGCGTGCGAGTGCACAGACGCATGCATCTGTGTGCGTCTTTAACTTACTCAAACATTTTTCGAGTGTGCGTACATACATATCGGGTGCACCGCGTAAATGTGGTTGTCGTTTTTATGAAGAGAGGCGGTTCATTGTCTGTTCGTTACCGCCTTCCATTGCCGTTACACCGACAGGGTTGCAATTAATTGCCAACTCGGTAGACGAAATTCAAAAGTGTGAATATTACTTTACGCAGTCTTTCGCCAACATAATAACATACAATCATCCCTAAGTTGCTAAAGAGATTTAAATTTACCATGTATTAGTTTTCTTGTTTTAAGTGGATTTGGTCCACTTGAGAGGACCAGGATCAAGCCTAGACGCTCTTCTAATTAATTAATAAATGTACTCGATCATCCAGTCAATAAAATTGTTACTTGGAATTTTAAGTGCCGATTTAACACAAGCCCAGCGGTGAAGGAAAAAATCGGGAGGAACACTGTATATTTTCGAAATAATAAAATAATACATAACTATGTGAAGTCTGCCAAGCTCTTGATGAACGACAAAAAGCTACCACATTCATTAACTAGACCTGTCCAGAGAAGAACCGGTTACCGGAACCGGAACTGCGGTTTTGTTATCTTTTTAATATACAAAGAATAAACAAAATTATTTAGGTATATAAACAGCAGCAGCATGTGCAGAGCAAGAATCTATCCGTATGTATTCGTGTTCCCTTATGTTAGTTCATATTAATATATATCTTCATTACAAGTGCACGGTTATCTGTTTATCACAAGTGCGTTTCAACTCACCTTTTAGAAGCGAAAACGATTGGCGTCGTAAGCGTTTAAGCAAATTCACGGCGCTAAAATAAGTGCCACACGGATAAGGAGTTCTGAGGCAGTTTTTAAATAAGGCTGTTGCAATTATTAAGAAAGCCGTTGCAGTTATTTATGCAAACGTTGCGTTTATTAAGAAAGCTGTTACTGGTATTTATAAAGCTGTTATATTTATTAACAAATCTTGTTGAAGATATAAATCAATCAGTATATTTAAGATTTACTCCGACGCAAAAATCTTCATCGCGATAATCGCCGACAGGTTTACCGTCTATCAAGTTTGTTTCTTATACATACAATTGCGACGCAAAAGTGAATGGATTACTTTTTCTTTTTATCCGACTGCGCAACGCAAAAGAGGTTAGTGTTTATCAACCTATGTATGTATATTTGTTCCTTTGTTAAACTAGTACTCTTGAGACCGAACACGTGGGCTGATTTTGATGATACTTACGTCAATCTCTGCCTTAATATTGCAAATGTCTTTCAAGATATGACAGTAATCAATATTGAATATGGAGACAACCAGACGCAATATTATGAAAAACTTGTAACAGCTAATAGGAAAACGTTCCATTCAAAAAGCATATTGGCGTTTTCTGGGGTTTATCGATTTTTTTAAATATTAGGTATTTATTTAAAAATTAACACAGACCCTTTATTTGTCCCGTTTTATTCCTGTGCATTCAACAGACATGATGGTATGAAGATCGAGGGCACAATGCACAGACGAAAGAC